ATCTTAAAGGTCTTTTCCAACCTAAACGATTCTATGATGTGGCTGCTGCTCTCCATGAGTAAACAACAGCTGTATTTTATATAGTCCTTTAAAGTGTGGAGGTTTGCCCCTTTAGGGGTGATGCTGCTGCAGATGGAGCTGCACACACAGAGCTGGGTCGATGCATTTCCCACCTGGCTTAGTGTGCTTTATCAACAGGATGAAAACCTTTTCTCAAAAGGAAAGCCTGGTTGATGAAATAGTAACTTTAACAGGCACCTGTGGCAGGCTAATGCACCAGGCACAACAGGCAGCTCCCCATCCCTTGGCAGTCCCCTCCTCCTCTTCACCTCTTTGCTCCCTGGGGCCAGATGACTGGGACAGAAAAGAGCTCCTGGCCCCTCACCTTTAACCATCCAGGGCACACCAGTGCAGCAAGAATTTGCCTATCATCATGGGAATCAAGTCTTGTCTGGCTTTAGTTGCCCTTGATGTCTCTTTTTGCTTGTTATTTTTCTCCCCCTGCCCTATTTTGCTTTAGGATGACCAGAGTAAACCTAACTGCTGATTCCTAAGTGGCTGGTCCCCAGGGAGATGGAGGAGTGCTGGAAAGCAGCAAGATGGGCTGCATCCTGGGCAAGGCGAGGGGCAGGCAGGGAGCAGCTGTGTCTGACTGCTGGTGCCCAGCACAAAGCCTGACTTGGCCCATCCAAGGCTGACACCAAGGTGGGTGTTCAGCCTAGAAAGTGGAGAGGGATATCTTTTGGGATAAATGTGGAAAAAAATCTTGAAGAAAGCTAAGGACTACAATTTTAAGAAGGGAATTAAATTGCAGAGAGGCATAAGCATGTGGGACTGCTGGCTTCACTGCTGGTTTGCACAGGTACCTGTGGCAAAAGGACACGGCTCTGTCAGTGGGTGTGAGTTTGTCCTGCAGTGCCAGGGTCATGCCGAGCATCTGATATGGCCTGAGCAATAAATGACGTGATTAATAAACAGCCTTGGAGACAATGAGCAGCATATCCAGGCCAGTTCCCGGGAAAATGACTAAGCACTCTGCCATGCACTGTTGGCCTTTCCCCTCTCCTTCCCTGGACCAGCACTGGGGGGTGGCCAAGCCCCACATGGTCAGATGTTCTGGTGTTTCTGGCACCTTTTTTTTAGCTCAGCCCCTTGAGTGGAAACCCCTGCCTCTAACCCAGCCCCGAGCTTCACCAGGGAGACTAGAGATGTGGATGCAGGATGCTTCCCTCTTCAGAAGTTTCACAGACTGTCTTTAAAAGGATGCAGAAAGGACTTTTTTTTTTTTTTTTTAAAGGACTCAAACCCCAGAGCACCTTTGCTATTCCCCACCCTGCCTGGGCAGCACCATGCAGCTGTGCTGCTCGTGCTCAGTCTGCACTGCAGTGGGGTGATGCCGCCAGCTCCAAATTCCTGCATGGTGATACGCATAGTTGGAAACAGGCATTTGGGGAGCTGCCGTTTGTTGCTCTTCCTTTTCCACAACAACAACGAAGGTATTTCCTACCCTCTCCCCCCCTACCCTGTGTTTCAAAGAGCAGCTTTTGTTTTGGAGAAGTATCGCCTTGTACCAAAATGCCTGTTATTCTGCAGGAAATTATCTTAAAATAGAGACCGCTCCTGCCAGATGTTTGTCTTGGAGCTGCTCTCCAAACCCTGTGACAGAAAGGAAAGGATGGGAAAGGCGAGGCACATGTGACAAAGCAGAGACTGATGCCATTTCTGGACCAGTGTTGTCCCCCGTCACTGGTGGCATGGCAGGTCCCCAGGACTTGGGGTACAGCCGACCAGATCTCCCTGCCCTGCGCCAGGTCAGGACAGGTTACTACCATTTGGGAAACTCCCCCAAGCACGAAAATGTGACTTTTTCCTCTCCAGCAGCTGGCAGCTGAGATGCAACCCAAGCACAGGCTGTGTCTGGCCACTGCTGCAGGGCTGCTGCAGTGAGCAGCAAGGAAGACCTTCAGCCTCCAGAGGTTTTAGTTTTTACCCTTTTTCAAACTCTGCACATTTCCCCTTTACACCCCATGGCATCAAATTCTATTTACTTTCATTTTAAAGGCACATCTTGATCATACACTTTATCCTGCTTTTTCCCAACCATGCACAGGTTTCTTTCTGCCCATGGGGCTCCCCAAGCCAAACAAGACTGAGCTTCTCCCAGGAAAGCCATGCGTGTCTCCAGCTCCTCGGCAATCTGTCCATGTCTTCTACAGACAGTTTTTCTGAAGTGTGATTTGAACAGGGGGCAGAGCACAGGTGCACATGTTACATGCTGGCACCACCATATATTATTCCGTTCTTTTCTATTTCTACCAAGTATCAGTATTTGGTTTTGACCGTTGCTGCCATGTCTACAAGGAGCACAAGATCTTTCACCTAATTGATCACGGTATCCCTTTCAGCATGCAGAAGAAGGGCTGGGGTCTCCTTGGCAGTTAATTTTGTATGTGCCATTATCTAGTACCAGCTGCTATTTTTTCCACTCGAGCCTGCAGCTGTTCACGGCCAACTGTAGGTGGGATGAGCCTCGGGAATGTGTTTTAGGTCCCAAAGAGCCAGGAGCACCCTGGGCACAGTAAAAATGCAGCAGAAAGCTCCTGATCTCCATTGCTTTTGCCACATCAGGTCCTTTTAGCTCATAGGTATTCAGACAAGCCTGCACTGCTGAGGTTTGTGCTTCTTCCGCTGCCAGCATGTGGTGAGCCATGAGGTGCCCTGCTGCACGGTGGATCGCTCTTCTCTCCCCTCAACGGCTCACTGCTCCACTTCAAACAAAGAGTTAAGGAAGAAAAATCTCCAAACTATGAAATTCTGGACCATTTCCTTAGTGTCTCGACAGCACTCTGTTTGCCTGCTTAAATTACAGTTTGGCAATCAAGGTTGCATAAGTGTTGGTCCAGTGCCTAGAAAACATTTCATTCTAAGAGGACTGTGACCCACCAAGGTCTCTTGCACATCCCTTTTCTCATTTTTCAGCAAAAAAAATAGTGATTTATAATACCACAGTAGCAAGCCTTTGGTCTTTTTTTTCCTAATCTTTTAATCTGTTTAAGCCAGGAAAGCTTCATAATGTACAATTTTAAACTGTCAAAATTTACAAAACAAAAAGAGTCAGGTTTAAAACTGGTCATAACTCACAAATATCCCCAAGAAAACTGTAAAATACAGACATTAAGCCTCCTGTATAACAAATTTAAACCACAGGTCACTGCTATTTTTAGGAAAGTGTGCAAAGAGCTAATTGTATAGTACACCTAAATGTTAAAAGTTATACATGTAAGCAGGTCTGCTGCTGCTATAAAAAATATACAAGTATAAAATTACTTCTACAAAATTGGTTCATTGATTTTGTTGCTTGTAATAAAAAAGTAGACTTTAAGAACTTTCCTCCTCAGCAAACAACGTCTTGAAACCAGTCACTGGAGCTGTTATTTACACAGGATGAAACATAATTTAGCTAAATCAGAGAGTGGTAAGGATAACTGCTTGTTCTGGGACATACATTTGAATGCATAGATACACTGCCTGATAGTGTATTTGTTGAACAGCACAGTCATTGTACCACTGCAGAGTGAGATAAATGCAGGTGGTTCAAGACTGCTTTCTCTGATATTACTAAAGATAACCTAAGGACCACAACACAGTCATTGAGCTACTCATAACATCACACATTTCTTTGCCATTTGCACGGATGCACAACCTTTAGCGTTCACTAAACACTTAACAGGTAGAGAGGACACTTCCTACACAAAGTACTCAGTTTGGTTTGGTCAGCAGAAGGAGAGATAAAAAATGTTCTTTTTTTTTTTTTTTCAGGTTTCCCTTTGGCTCTGTCACCTTTCCAGATGGCAAACATGGGCCAGCCCATAGAGGGCTGTGGCAGCCAGCTCACACTCAGCCACACACACAAGCACACAACGGGTCCTCGGCACCAGGATTCCTCTCTTGTCACTTGGTCCCACACGTGTTGATGTTCTTCCCATCGGTGGCATCCTCCACCAGCGAGATGTGGTAGTCGGTTGAAAGCGTGAGGTGGGAGATGCAGCCTACCAGGCCCCGCATGTACTGCCTGTTCGTCTGCAGGGCTATTTCCTTCATGCCACCTGGGGGAAAGGCAGCAATGAGAAACTCTTCACCGATACAGATGTCTGCTCCTGCTTGGCAGACTGCACACCCAGCAACGCCATTAGCCTTCCTAGTGCACCTCAGAAGTGAATTTTAATTTACAGGTTGCTCTGTGTTTTTTTAAATACAGCTTTTAAGCACTTGAAAGTACAGAAGGGATAAGCAGGAGATAATAAACCAGGATGCTAATTATTTATTACAGAAATTGTAGCATCAATAAGAGCTGAATAAGATTGTGCCCAGATTCCAACTGAGGTACAGGGTTTGCAGCTACACTCGCTGTTTCTCTGTGCACCTGCGGGGGGGACAAAAGTGCACTGCATGGTGCTGGTCCCTTCTCATACCAGTCCCCCCAGTCCTGCCCAGAGAGGCCTCCCCACAAAAAACAGCCTGACCAGAGGCTGGCATGTTGAAGCCTTCACCTTGAGATGGACAGATCTGGGATGCCCTGCCTTGCAGCTGACTTCACAAACACAAAAATGCATCTGGGTTCTGAATGTGAAGAGTGAGCACTCACCTACATAGAGATCTCCATTGATGTTTAACTGCCTCATCTTCCCAGGGGATTTACCAGTCCTGGCACCGTAATCGTCCACGGTTACTTTGCCAGACTGTCCATCCCTGAAACGAAAAACAAACCGCTGTCATGCATCCAGCCTACAACCAGGCAGGAGGAGGAGCAGTAGCATCTCCCCCTCACCAGGAGACCGGGGCAACTCAGTGCTCGGCAGGGCTCTCGGCGAAGGCTTGGGGCTGATGCTGGGGAGCCCCATGGACAACAGGGTGCTACAGCAATCCAGGCCCTACAGGGTGGTTTTATTCCAGGGACTAAGATGTCAGAGACCTGCAAAGGGTGTGGGACACCTTGCACAGCTGGGGGAGAGGGGAGGATGGACAGATTCTGATGTGTTTTTAAAAATCAGATGTAATACAAAAAGTAAACAGCAGAACCTTCAACAGAAGGGAAAAAATAGGCAAGCTAAGGTAAAACATAAAAAAGTATGTTTTACTTATAAGCAGTTTTGTTTCTTGCTAGAGCTTTTAGGCTACTTCCATTTTATATATGGTCAATAACCACACTGGCAGAAGAGCCTCCTGATGGGCTCCTATTCTCACTGAAGTTGGTAACAAGTTGTGCTAATGTCAGCCTGCAATTTCCAGGGTACAAACATCTCATGAAGAGGGAGATGTGTGCTTTCCCTGCTGGGCACACTTGCCTCCCATGAGGTAATGAGTTATAAATATGAGTTATATATACACTGCAAGATGTCTGCACCTCCTCCAAATAGAAAAAGTAGGCATACACTGTCCATGCTCCAGTGCTTGTGCCAGTCCGCAAAATGCTCAGTAGGGAATTTCAAAATGCAGACATTAAAGAAAAATATTCTTAACCCAAATGGTATGGGTTTAATAGAATGTCTGTCACAGCCCCAGAATAGCCCTGTGTGACTTTGGCAGCCTGCCTCGAGCCGTGCTGAGTTGGCGCTGTCACCTCTAATACAATAATCTTTGTGTACATCGTCCTGAAACAGCCAAGTTGCTAACAGTTCAACTCATAAGAGATGTGAAAGCATGGAGCCACAGTGATTCACACCCGACCAGCATCCAGACACGACAGCCAACACCTTTAATGGCAGAGTGGCTCCAAAACACCTCCCAGATGAAGCGTGGCCACTTACCGAACAGCCTTGACTCTGTGCCACCGGCCGTCGCTGAAAGAGCCATTCACCATGATGGAAGCAATGCCGCTGCCCAAATTGTAGCTACAATTAAAAAAAAAAAAAAAAAAAGTTACTGCCTCCCTTGCAAAGACTGGCTGCCTGCCAAATTGCTCAGATGTCCCACCGGCTCAACCCCCAGAGCTCCCCTTATGGCTTGGATTCTGGGGGGACCGGTGGAGTCTTTTGGAAGTCCAGCAGCAATGTACTTATTTCGCAAAGTCAGACTCATGGAGCAACAGGCAAAACTCCCTCCTGCCCAGGTCAGAGTGGGTACCATCACCACCATCCCATGGGAGCAAGAAAGGGGCCTCTCTGCATGGCAGCTCCTCCCTGAAACAGAAGGTTATGAAGGTCGGTGACCTATAGACCTTTGGCCTAATGGGAGAGAGCCGTGGGAGGTTGCAAACACAGGTAATAAATAAAGAGTTACAAGAGTAAATAAGCACGTGACCTATAACAGATCTACAAATCATCTGAATTATAAGGAAGGTTGAGACCTGTGATGTTAGAAAGGATGAAGCCTAATAAATAAATGCGGACATAATAATGAAGTTTCCTGCTTCAGTTGCAGCTCTGATTATTTCTTTGTGTTTGCTGCTACTAAAATTACTCAGCAGACATAATGTCTCCATCATGTTTACGCTCCAGGCATCTTAATTTCTGGGTCCCAGAAATTTGGGCCAACCTTCACGAAGGGGAAGTAGATGCTACAACACAGTGAGTTATTGGGTGCTCAGCTGTCTAAATAAGCAGGATGAATTAGCCTAAGCCAGCCACTGCTGGCCTTCAGCCTGTACCAAGCTAGAGATTAAAGCCAACATCATCATCTCTTCACAAAAGGCTGAACCTGGAATTAAGTTCATGGCCAGGGTTAGGTACTTGAGAACAGCATGTTAAGTCATGAGCTGCCCAGAGCAAAATGGTTGTCCTAAATTTGACTCCTCCCCAGAGGTTTAAGTGAGTCTCAAACAAGCATCTCCTTTTACCCAGAATGCAGACACCAGTCTAGGTCGAAAGCCTTCAATCCAGAAGGATTTGAGTGTTCAGGATTGTATCTAAGTGTAAGACCTTTGGTTACAAAAATGAGATTCATATCCCTAATGAATGGGGATCCCCTACAATAGTGATATAACCTTCTACAGAAGCAGGGAGCAACAAAAAGGATTTACAGCAGCAGTTACACTGTACAGGGAACCTACTTTGCTAGGCCTGCAGAAAATGGGAAAGAAAAGGTCCGTTTTGAATTTCAAACTGGACCAGAACACAGATATCTAATTTGGGCTGCAGGAAAATACTTCTGACCAATATTGTCTGACCAGTACTGATATTGTCCTGATCTCACCTCTCAAAAGGTGGAAAAGTAGCACGAGGATCACTCTTTCTGAAAGATGATGATACTTTTTATTTCTGCATTTGTCCTTTCACCACCTTCTTCAGTGCTCCCTTTCAGTATGCAGTGATTGTTTATGAGAGTTTTAATTTAGGATCTTAACTTTTCACCTTCCTAAAAGCGTGTGGAAGGTATGGATATTCCAGTAAAATTCAGCTGGTTTGGTCTAAAACCTTTGTGTATTCTCATCTCTGGGGGATAGCAACAACCCTAATAAAAATTCAATATCCTAGAAAACAGACAGAATTGACTGGCCACTTACTACCATGCATCTTGGAAAAAGAGGCTCTCCCAAAGACATTTAAAAAATGCACCGTTTCTGCAGAGTCAGTTCCTTGTTTATAAAACAATGAGGAAACTAAGAGTTTTTGCAAAGTTAACCACAGAAAATCACATGAAAAAAGCTTAAAAGAAATTAATTTAAGTACAAATGTGCAACTTGTCTATGTACAGTCCATGGTAGCAAACAACAACCAGGTAACTCAAGCAAAAGATAGCTTCAAATTGGCTTAAAGGATTAACAAAGTCTTTGTCATTTAATCAACAGTGTCTCACAACAATCCATAATAATGATGGTATTTCTAGTTTGCTGTTTCATTATTTGTCTTACACAACCTAAAAGGGAATCATGAGGAAAGATAGGGCTTTCAAAAGGCAGGAGTCCCAAAAAAGTACTATGCAAAAAGTTGCATGGAGTCTGCCTAAGTGTCTGCAAGGGAGAAAGCAATTCTGGAGAGAGAACACAAGTTCAGCCTCAACGTTTCCCAACACTCCCTAATTTCAGCTTTTTTGACAGTAATAATATTAGTTTCTTAAATAAGTGGTTCTGTGGATGGTGGTAGTAACAAAGCCTGGTGACAGCTGGGTTTGTGTCACAGGTTTGGATATTTGGTGGTTTGGGAAGGTGGGAGCCCTGCTCCCATGTGCAGTCTCTGGTGAAGAGTCAGCCTGCAGTGAGCATGGGCGTCAGCAAAGTTTTTCCTTGACCCCTGCTCTCTCTGCAAACCCTACACCTGCTCTGCTTAACTGAGATGGCAAATGCTTCAAGAGGCGTTGGCGGGGGGGAGGCAGCGGTTTACTGACAGTACTTGTACCCTCATAGGGTGACTTTTAGAAAATCATATTAAAAACCAGGTGTTTTAAAAATTGGGAGGGAGGGAGGGAGTGGGAATCATGCAAAGTTTGCAGCACATTACCTCTTTAACTCACATCCTTTCCCAGACAACAGCAGCACCCATCGTTGAACAAAACTTTGACGATGTAATTGTCTCACACTATACCAAAGGACAAGTGCACTGGATGTGTTGTGGCAATTCCTTCAAGCTTTGAGTGTACTACGTGCAACACAAATAAGGGAGAGAAAGTTTACCTGAATATTAATGCTCCTTCTTGAAGGCCTAGAGAAATGAAATCACTGTTAGGTCGCATGGGACTGTCTCCCCTCCACAACAAAAGACCTTCCTTCATTGTGGTTTTAAACCTCATGAACACGTTCGTTCTTGATCCTGATACCCTGTTTAATGCAGAAGGAAATAATAGAAAAATATTGAACTGGGACGGTCATCTTTGAAAAAAAACATAAAAGATGATGCAGTATTTCTTCTCCACTGGTCTTGTGGGTTACTGTCTTGCAACTTGCCTACGTGCTGATGTGTGAGAGACTCTGGTTCACATCCCCACTTCCAGCATTTTGGAGTGGGGGAATTGAACTTGTCACTCCAGAATCCCAAACACAATAGCTAATTTTTGACCCATACAAATAAGAGAAAATCTTTTTTCTCCCCAAGCCTAGTGTGAAATCCAGTCCAACAAGCAAATTTTGAGAACGTCCAGTACATTTGGTGCCCTCAGAAGCCAGTGGAAGAAGCATAAGAATGGGCAAATCAGAAAGTCCTGGTAGGTGAGAGGTACCAAGCTGCAGGTGAGGACATCTGCAAAGCCTCCTCTAGTCAGTGGCTGAAATGCGGGCAGATATAGGAACTTGTTGAAACAACCCACAATTTGCTGGAATTTGGGCATCTCCTAGAGCAGCCAAAAAGAAGTTTGAGGACCTAAATTTTAGGCTAAAGCAGGCGTTAAAATCCTTAGTCTCTTCACAGATACAGGCTTTTTATGTCTGTTCTTTGCTCTCAGAAAGCGCATACCAGTCCTTCTCCATACAAGGACACATGCTGTGCATGCCATTTCTCTGCAAGATGCTCAGGTATTATAACAAATTGAGCCATAAGCATATGCATAGAAAATGGGTTTTTTTTTCCTGAAATTTAGAAATATGACAAACACAGATTAAAAGAATTAAATATACAACATCCTCCCACATGAGGGTCCTAGCATTATAATGGTTACCAAACAGAATATTTATGTTCATAGGTGTTACATTACCTTTTCAGGATATCTGGATTACCATATGTAAGGTAACTGCGACCAATAAATTGTGGGATTTCAATTGCTTCTGTAATGGCTGAAAAGTAAATTAAAAAAATGAAGATGAGTGTCAGTTAGCTGACATGGAAATGGAAGGAAAAAAAAGAGACAAGACTGTTTTATTAATTTACTCCTGCATTGGCAGGTACCTGCCGGTGGCACAGAACAGAGCTGAACTCACAGTGGTTTGCAAAAAGGCACCGACAGTTCATACTTGAATGTAGGGGCAGTAGTTAAGGCAGTTTAAACTGCTGACAGTCCCTCTACTTACCGCCTTCATTTCATGGGCCTAATGTATTGGTCCACCACAAATGTTAGCACAGGAAAATATGAAATATTGGGAAAACATTGTAAATTTTATTTTTATCCCTGTTTCCACATTCCTTGATCCTCCATGTGGTTCAAGCAACCCTCCTGCCCAAGCTTATGCATTAATCACCCTTTGTTCTTAGTCTAAGAAACTCCTCCCCAGCTCCTAGAAGAGTACCATGTACAAAGCACGTGCTGGGACCTCTCACCCCTGCAAAGCAAGGCCAGGAAGCAGCACAGGCAAACTGTGAGTGCCCCATTTTCTCCTTTTGTGTATATGACTTCGCACAGAGCAGCTGCTGCCCCCTCAGGGCTCAGCTCTGGGGTGTAGTGTTGGGGGAGGCTATCTCTGGGGAGGACATACAGGGTGCCCCTGATCACTTTAGGTCTATTGAAAGCAACTGAGACTACACTAAAGGCTGTATGACAGAGGCTGCAAAGCCTTTTGGCATGTGCATTTGACACACTGCAGTGCTGCCTTGGAGGGTGTTTTGCTCAGAGCTCACCAGTGTCCCACACACAGCATCTCCCATTTCTCTATGGACAGCCTCTGCTACAGCTGTGGTGTACAGCTGCTGGGACAGCAGCATGAATTGCAACCAGACCTGGAGCTGGTGTACTGCTGCCTATGGAAAAGACTTTGGCAAAATAAATCAGATATGTGATATGAATCACTAAACATCCTTGATACACAGCCTTCAGTAGGCTATGAGCACCAGCCTAAACAGATTTCCTTTTGAGTGAACATCCTACAGTTTGCTGCTGATCTCTCATAACTGACTGCTGCATTAATATAAGCCAGTTTTATAAATTCCCTAAAAGAGCTGCCTTCATCCTTTTTTCTTCATGAGAACTAATCCCTTCAACCCACAGCTAATCCCATCTATATAAATTTCAAGCTTTTCAGGGCATGGATGCTTGCTTTCTTTATGCAATGCAGAGGCTGGCTGGGCTTTAAGAGCTCACTGTAACACAGATTGTGTAGTCTGGCAGCCAACAGCAGCAATATGAAATTTAGCTCTAAGTGCCAAGATTGAGAATTTTAGGTAGTGACAAACGCCTGTTTTCATCCGTAGTGAAATCAGAAAAGCTGCCTAATGTTTCTAAAGAAACCACCACAGGCAGTCCACAGCCTGCAGCCTGCCAGCGTCATTGGAAGATTGCAAAAGATGTGTTACACTCGGTCAGACAGGTCTGAAGCTTTCTGCACTGGACAGTCTCTGACCATGGCGGATGGCAGCAGAGTGTGAAAGGAGCCCTTCTTCTGCCACCACATCCCCCACTGGCACTAGAGCCCCTCTGCCCTTGCTTTCAGCAGGGGAGGGTACCCGTGCCATGCAGCAGCCCTTGCCTTTGCTCTAGCACCCTGACTTCCTCTATGGAGCTTGATGGGTGTTTATCTCTGTCTGTTCTCCTGTATGTTTTTCACTTGCTGCACTGCATTTGACCGCAGAAAATGAAGTAGATTTTAGCAGTACCCTTGATGCATGCGGGATCTTTTGCAGCTGAAACGGAACAGGCCCAGTAAGGAAATCTAGGACTAAACACCTTCGCTCTCTGCTCATCGGGATTCAGCAGAGAGGCACCAAAGTTCTCATGACAAGCAGGAGTCAGCTCTGAACTGCAGGGCAGCCTGAAGTAGCACCTACCCCTATAAAGCACTCAGCTGGCTGCCTGGCCCTGCTGCTTTGCGAATACAGGGACCAGCTCTACAGCCACCGCTCTGCACTTGGCAGGTGTTCTGGATGCAGTTTAAAATATCAACAGGATGAGCTTTAAGGAAGTACTATATAACCCCACAAAATATTCTGGCCTATCGACAGAAGCTTGCCAGGCTTAATGGAAATCCAGCATCCAGATTGCTAGAGCAGACACAGACACACAATGACAGAGCAGTTTTCACATCATTTGTAGTACTTACTGTTTAGGCAGTAACTTCCACACTCTGCAATGAGTCAGCACAAAATAAAACAAGAACATTCTCATTTTATTTTTCTATAGCATAAAAATCTCCCTTTGTCCACTTTCATGCCCACCTTTCTGCAAATGTGTGATCCCCGCTTCCCATTAGCATAAGCAATTACAATCACTTATGAAGGTAGCACTCTTTCATTATTGTTTTGCCCCAAGTATTTATATTTGCCTGCTCAAAACACACAAACGTGCAGAAAGGTTGCACCAGCACCAAACCCCTCTGCTAGTCCTAGTTTTCAAATCCCAGTGACTCATGATGGTTTAGCCAGGGATCGGCTCTAACCAAGGAAAAGCAACAGCTCGTTGTTCTGCTCCATCTTACAATTAAGTATAAAAATACTATTAGTACTCCCCACAGCGTGGACAGAAGATATAAAAAACAGCAATGCCAGCAGAAACTCTATTGAATCCTTGGCCAACAATCCATTACAATATGAATCAATATCTCGTATACCTAATACCAGCATCAATTAAGTTGACTTTTATAAGTGTATAATTTTGGAAAATGAGGTGCAGTCCCTCACAAGCACTTTGTTTTTTCAAGGCGTGGGGTTACAGTAGCTCTCCAGCAAGCAGGATGGAGACTGCACCTTCAGCCTGTCACACACCCTCTGAGTGCACTAACCAAAACCCCGTTCTGAAATAGAACACACGTGCATCCTGCCTTAGCCACGTCTACACCCTACTGAAGAGACACAGATAGGATTATTTTGAGAAATCTGCTCCAGGTTCATCAAGGCTGTCATGGACTGAGGTTCAGGAGGGACCTCCATGCTCTCTGCACACCCATCAGCAAAACCTTGGATTTTTGGTGGCAGCTGAGGCTGCACAAGTGCAGACAGGTTGAGAGGCACCTGAACAGCAGCCACAGGCAGCAGGAACAGAAGACAGGTGACTCGTGCTTTTGGACACCCTTAAAAATTAATTAAGGTTGGATTCACATAGGAAGCAACACGCAGGATCCAGCGTAAGCCAAAGACACAAGGTGCTTCAGACTGTCTCTGAAAGCCTGGACACCCATTCAGGTTACAACAGGGAGGAGAGCGGTGGCATGCTAGCCGAGCGGCAGCGCTGTGCTGCCACGAGGCAGGTGCAGTGGCCGGACGCTCGGCATGCTGCTCTGGGGCTCAGCACAGGTCAGAAGCAGACGAGCGGTGAGGAGCTGTGGCCCGAGCAATGCACAGGAGCTCACTGAACGGGCAGGCAGTCACACGCCCAAGCTGCAAAGCGTTCACTTGCCTTGACTCCCCCTGGAGACCTTGCTACTGCTGCAGATACAATCTTGAAGTCAGGAGCTTAGCACCCTGCACATACCTAGAAAGCCAAAATTGCAATTCTCCCTCCTCCTCACAGAGAAGCCAGGATAAATGACGTTGCTCCAGCTATTAGTTAGACCACAACAACGTAAGCAAAGGAGGTTCTTGCATAGTATTTTAATAAAATGTTTTTGGTTTAAGATTTTGTCTTTTTCAGAAGAGGCCAATCTATTCATCACAATTTAACCAAAACCACTACTTTTCACTTTGAAGATTGCGCCTGTGAGAAATGAAGGAGTGGGTGAAGACAATAATGTCAGTCAGCTCTTTTGAACTGAGTTTGTTGTTACATTACAAAACCTTCCCTTAGGAATTTTTCAAGATCAAGCCTGACAACAGGGAAACATCTCCATCTAGTGGAAAAACCCAAAGCACATTTTTTTTTAACACTTTTGATGCAATCTGAACACTTTCCTGAATCTAAGGTTTGAACTATTACAGTGGGTCTGAGGAAAGAAGAATAATGTGCATTTAGGCAGGTTTTCCTCCTTGGTCATCTCCACTGCCGTACCAAGGTAGGGTGTGTGCGGATGGTGAAATTACCATCAGAGCAGTCAGTGTCTAAAAAAGGACTAGACCTTTCTGTATATGAGAACAGTGTTTGTTGTGAGCCCTAAGGAGGATAAAATTACAAGTGTTATCAATGCTCATGCTTCAGGACATAACATAATCACTGGCTGGTGGACATTGGCAGGAATTCTTCTTTTGTATAGCACTGCATAATTAGGGAGGTGTATGAAGTGCAGTGCAGTGGTGTTGACCACCCCAAGCAACCAGATACCAGGCTGCTATCTATGTATCATAGCTCTGTGCGGGGGTAACAGTTACCATGTTCATAAATAACAAAATGAATTCTTCCCTGGGTACATGGAATGTGCACGGATGCAAAGGGATCTCTGGCCTCCAGGGTTTCTATTTCAAGGGATGTGAACAACAGCAGTTGTAGTGCTAAATCTCTCTCATTTTTGTGATCAACTCCAAATCTCTGGATTGAAATACAGCCATCATTACCTTTTTGGCAATGTTGCCCATCGAAGCCCAGGGGACAGTCACATTCATAGCTGTCCTTCTTGGGAACACAGGTGCCTCCATTTGCACATGGTGAGCTCACACAGGGGTGGGCAGCATTCACTAGGTTGATTCCACAAGTGAAATCACGTTTCACATCGATTGTCCGGTCATTCAAGATAATCTATGTGTTTTTTAAAAAAAAAAAAAGGGAGGAAAATGCATAATAAAAACTTCCAAATTCTCAGTAATGTACTGCTAGTCAGAAAACTTCTCTAAAAGACCTCAGAGAAACACAACCCTCAAAACTTGGCCGAAAACCTATTTCTTGTAATGTGTTTTTTCCAGTCACAGAGGTCCAACTCATTCTGATGCTCACCCTGACACACTGGAGGTGATTTTCTTTTGTGTTTTGTGACACAGCCTCAGGCAACCCCCATATGTGGTGAAGCTCTGTGGGATTTACCAGTCTTGTATCTGAACACTGGTGCAATGCTTTGTAGCTGAGCTATGAGCTAGGATGGTAAAATTAGACGAGCACTGCTGAGGAAAAACGTTTCTGAGATCAGGAAACCCCCCAGGAGACAAGTGTTTACAATAGAAATACTAAGCAGAACAGCTTGTTTTTCATATTTTCAGTTGCTTTCTAGTATCTCATCTTGCCTGAAAGAAGCTAGAGTTAATATGGATGAAAAATATAATTAATGACTTCACAAAACTGTTTGTATATAAACTGAAGAGAATTGTTAAATGTTGGGATTTTTCCAATGTGTCAGCAACATATGTTCTCCAATATAAACTGACATTTGTATAATCTCAGCTGATATCTTTGCAGGGAGATTACATGTGGGTACGGCTTCTGATCTCAGCTACATCAAAATAAGAAGTCCATTTACACAAACAAATAGATTTTAATGCCCGAAGTGAGAATGGCAATAGTTACTCTGCCTCCTGCATAACTCAGATGATGCACCTTAGGTCCTACTGGGAGAAGGGGTTGCATCAAGCATATATACTTTGTTTGAAACAGCACTAAACTTCAACAACAGAAAAACATTCCGTCCTGTCGTAAAGATGGACCAGTGAGGACTCTGCTACCTTTTCAGTTTCTTTCTAACTTCTGGCTGCATTGTTCCAGAGGTTAACAAGCCCCCAGTCTTAAAAAGGTGTCTCTTATTTCTGAGCTTAAACTTATCTTCAGCTTCCAGCTGTTGTTTCTCATCATGCCTTTTTCTGCATCATTTCAGAGACAGATACTCAAAGAAATCTCACCTGCATGTAGAAACTAGCAGACCACAATAAAGTCACTTCTTAACCTTATTTGAGTAAACTGAATAGATTGAGATCTTATGTCTTTCTACACATGGCATATTTTCCAGTACTTGGTGATATTTGTAGCTTTATTTCTATACAATTCTCCAAAATCCTACTATGTGTAAACACAGCAGTCAACTAATAGTCTCTCAGTGCCCAAAAGGCAGGCAATACTCTTCTTTGACATCCTATTCAGGCCTCTGTGCAGGCAAATCCACCTTCTTAGCTACATCACAGAAGTAAGGGCTCACACTCAGCATTTCCCAGTCCCAGTGAGTGGAATTTCCCAATATCAATGTCTATGTACTCTAGGGTACAGCCCCTCACCTTGTAAGCATGACCTGTGTTAATTGCTCCTATGCTCCCTATCTTGCATTGTATCTAGTCAAGCCCACCTTTCCAATGATGTTTGTGTGACTGACCTGTTCCCATCACTATTACACACTCCCACAGTTTTCTTGAACTTCATGTTTTCTGCTAGACATCTGACAAAGATAGTGAAAAATGTTGGACCAAGTGATGAAACCATTTACACTGACTTGCACTTACCTTTCTGCCCTTGATCAATTGTTATGAGACACACTATTAAGAATTTTATTTGTTAAGTAAATCTGATACAATAATTCACTCATTTAAAACTCCGAGGATTCAGGGCCAACCTTTCAGCTTTATCCAAATTATTTTAAGTATGCCTAGGGAGTACAAATGTTAGTTCAGTTTGAACTTTCTTTTGATTGCTTATTAGGACTTATTATGAATTTACAGATTTATTCTCCAGAAGAGAACTGCTCCCATGCACAGCTGACCCCACTGGAACACCATCCCTCATGTCTGCCAACAATGAAAAAATTCTCCTCCATACATGTGCCCCATATAAAATTGTAAGAGGGGAAGGCCATGAGGTGTGCAAATGCTGTATGGTATAAGAATACGCTAGCTGGACTGAGATCTACTTTAATTTGCACCTCCTTTTTTGCTCATTACTGTGTTGGTTACATCAGACATTTAGCTGCCTCAGTGTGCCTACACTGAAATATTTGATCATTTATTCTGTTAATTTATTTATATATGATGCTACAGGGCACTCTGAGGACTCTTGACATAGCTTTGTGCATCATTCTGAACTCGATCCTGTATGGCTTCTGCTCACTTATTAGTACAGTATGGAACTTAATAGGGAGACTGGCAGTGGGAACACTTACTGGCTATTAAAGTTAGAATGACTTTTCACTGTGAAATATCTGCTTATGCACTTTGTGGTGGGCTCCTGAGATGAAATCCTGGCTTATTTTGAATATTGCCAGTGGTATAAGGGCAGGTTTCCACCTAAAGTGTGCACTGGATGAGATGGAAATAAATGCCTCCAATGTGTTTCTCTGGGCACATACCTTCTGGATGCTCCCGCTGAAGGGTCTGAGGATCCCAGAGTTCTTCTTCACAGCATCATAACTAGGGACTCCACCAATAAATATTTCAGAGCTGCACTTAATCTGTGTGAAAGCCCCCTTCACAAGAAACATAAGAATAACATTTTAATAGAGTAGCTGGAACCATGCTTGTATCTTCAGATTAGCCTACATTAGGTGTTATAGCTTACTGTAATGCCTCTTCTGTTAATTGCATTTCTTTGTACAGTTCTCTCAAGCAAGCCACTGTAGGTCACTCTCTACTGACCGTGCTTTCTCCTAATCAGAACTAGCTGAAAAATCTCAAATATTTCAAAATGGGAGGAAGGAATACTAAAGGAAGAAAGGGACTGACTCATGATTTCTGACTGCACATCTAGCTCTATTTGCAATGACTTGAGGTACATTGATGTAAATCTAGAACGAGAATGAGGTTCATCAAGTTAAAATCAGAGCAAAGTCCATGCAACAGAGACTCATTTAATGTTTCCAACATCTAAAAAGATAATACAAAGCAAGTTATAGGACTAAATGAAAAAAACATTGAGTTTGCATGAGTTTCCACAAGCGGTTGCTCAGGATACCTGGTGGGACTAGTCAGGGTCCTGGAGTGAACTGAAAGAATTTTAACAGCTAAGGACAGGATAACAGTATAATTCCAGTCCTGCAGAAGCTCCTGTGATTTCTTTTTGGCAGCTCCCAGCCAGCCTCGTTCTGCAGCTGAACAGCAGCACTTATGGAAAAAAAAAATGGGAGTCCTCATCTTGACTCATTTACCTAAAGAACTCTTGACTGCTCCATTTGAATGTTTCCCACTCAATCTGTTTCTTGACAGACAACTGGAATTTCAATTTATTTACATTTTTCAAGAAAAGCCTAAGCTTTAAATAGTTTGCCAGTTTACAGAAAAACATGCAGATTCTTCTGCTAACAGGATCTGGAGTCTGGTTTTCTGGACACACTTTCCATTAGGAAAGAATAAAAGACATTTTCTAAGCAGTTTTAGCCTCAGATTCTTGGGATAAAAAAGTACCTCTGTGTATGCATTTGAGTGCTTAGGGTCAATACCGTGCTAGGTATAAGCAAAATTTCACCTTATTACAAACTTGACTCACTATGACCTTTTGGTGAGGGAAGAATAAAAATGCAAGTCACCAAGTGTCTGAGTATTCCAGCCCTTACTCTGTCCTGAAAATAGTTTTGCAAGGAGAAGACAAAGAAACAATTCTCTTTTGGCCTACCTTTCCAGCACAATTCAGAGAGAGGTAAAAACAGGATTTTGTGCATATAATTTTCATATCATCCTTCTCCAGATGACCATTTCATAGTGTACACGTTGTTCAACAGACTTAGCCACAACCAGTAAGTACCAAGAAAAGAACCTCAAGAACATGTATGAACGAAACACAAAAATGTGAGTCCAGTTACATGGCAAGAGCAAGTAAGGTTGTGATTTCAGCTGCCTTTACAAGGATCCCTGTCCTCAGAGGGAAGACATCATGTGCAAATTTCCAATTTGGGGTTTAAGAAAATGTTGCCCTAATGTGTATACTTTTTGAGGTTATAAGAGCTTTGAGAGCAGCCTATGTAGTTTACCATGAAATCATGTTATAGTCTAACAGCTGTATTCATGACAAGCCATGCCACATGCTCACCTCTGCCATGCCTTCCACTGGCTTTTGTTTGTCCACTTGTAGGATACCATTCTTTGCTGTGCGAGACACTCGCAACTCATGCCATTGTCCCAGACTGACAGGTTCTTCACTCCTGTTTTAAGGGAAAGAAAACTTTCAAGTATTTTACACTTTTGCCTTTCTGATATTTTCAAATATTGTTGTGACATTAAAAAGTCAAGTCCTTTGGGATGATTTTCTAAATAAAAAATAAAAATAAATCACAGCATTTCTTTCCTTATAAGGAAGTAACATAATTTCTGAGCCCCATACCATGTTCCTAAAAAGTACTCTACTTTTATAAATGAAACATTTCTATAATCAGCATGCATTTCATCTACCTCTCAGCTAATTTTTCTGCTCAGTCATTTATAATGCATAAAACCAAATTTTTATCTCAGCTGTACATTCTCATTTCACAATGACGTAAGCCTGGAGATAAAGCTTCCCACTTAATGGTCGGTCTAGTCCCACATTCTTTGTCCTCTTTTAAAACAGAACTGCTTTGTGTTGGCTTATCAGCTCTATTTATGCAGCCTGTTACAGTGAATCTGCACAAACAGACACAGACACACACGCAGCCCAGCTACTGTACATTAAGAGGAAGTAACTAAAATATGATCCTAAAGATGTGATGAGATCCTGGCTAGGAACAAAAATCCCCAGTAGTGCAAAGTATTCACCAGTCTCAAAGGAAACATTTTAAAACCATCCTTACAATCTTTATTAGTTCAGCACTAATACGAATAGCAGCCTGTATAAAGGGCAAAACCACATTCTCCTTTACAAGTTCCACAGACCTTTGTATCTTGTTTTCAAGTGTCATTTTACTAGACTCATTAAAGCATTTTGTCTAAATGTTATCTTGCAGCCTTTCCTCCAGGAGCAATGAAAACTTGTGTTTGATTCACTGGTCAAGCTGGAAAAATCAGAAACCATGTTATCTAGGACACCTGAAGGCTTTCTAGCTTTTAATGAAAAAATACAAAATTGTTTTGGGTGAAATAATGTTTTGTATTTTCAGGCTATTTACATTTAAAGATAAAAAAAGATACATTTCAGAATGAAAGAACTGAAAAAATTGTGATTTGAAACAGTGAGTCAATAGTGATACAAATGATGATTAAAAAAGGTATATAATTTTGAAAATACGAAAATAACTATTTCATTTTTTCTTTTTTTCTGAACAATCAACATGAGCTTTGAAATCTTTTTGTTGTATCTATTTTGCTCCTCCAAATTTTCTCAAAGCCCATTTTCACCTATTTGGACGATGTTGGCAATATTACTTTGACACTTGGTTCAGAAAACCTCCATAAAAAAATATCTTCGAGCAATGCCATTCATCTGTCCCTTTTCTTACGTAGTAGCATTTAGGGTTTAACTACCTTGGGTAAATCAATAGGTAACAGAATTTAATCACCTTGAAGAAGTCAATATATACACATAAAGGAACCAGATAGGTTTGGCTACCTAATAAATGGTAATACATACATTTTGTCTCCTCTGCTGATTAGGTCATCATCATGCTAACCCTCCTGCTCTGCTAGATTTAATTACAATTAGGGATGATTAAGCCTTGCAGAGTCATCACTTCAGAGTTGCAAGCTATTTCTTGGATTCACAGGCTTTTTGAAACCACCATGAGTTTGGTAACGCATTCTGCAGGCATTTGAACACTTCTGGCTCTTCATGCGCTGTGGGGTTAAGGATTACTTCTTCTCGCGTAAACCAAACCTTACAAAGTACATCAAATGATTAAGATCTTGATCCTGTGAATGCCTGACCAAGGGAAATCCCAGAGGACAACAAATCCTCCTTTGAGACATCTTGGTAAATAGCTCAGGTTCTGCATCTGTCTGTCTGCTTGACATCCCTGCTCCCACCCGAGCCCGCTGCGCACACTGTGCTGCTTCTATCCCAAGACACTTCAGGCAAAACCCAAGCTTCACCAACGTCAGCTTTCCTACTGCTGCTGCTGACATACATAAATGAGTTTGCCTCATCCTTAATTATAAATATATTATAATTGTGTTCTGATTATATTATAACATTTAACAGCCTGGTCGTATGGAAGACAAAGTCAGGATGACCAGAGTTATATGCCCGTTTAGGACAAAGGGTAGGTGTGAAGCGGTATGATGAAAATCAAGGCAGACTTTTAAGTGGATATTGGCTAAGCAAACACAAAAAACAGGGAATCTATTTATCTTGTTTAATCACTGACAGAACTGATGACAGGGTGAGAGTTGCACACTTTATCTAGAAAAAGGAGCTGAACAGGACATCCTGAAAACTTTCAACAAAGCCTGCCAGTCTCATGAGTCTCCCCCATTACCCAGCTATCTCACCACACTTTTTTTCCCCAAGGCACATGACCCAGGTGCTAGCTGGCATCCTGCTAGCCCTTCTACTTTCCAATAGAAAGGGGCAGTTTTCAGTCCCAGGCACATGCTTGTGGTTCTTGCCAGATTTTACAAGACTACATCTCAGTTAAATTTTAGTCCAAGGTGTTTTGAAGGGCTACAATATTCTTGGGGGAATAAAAATGATGTCTACTTTCATGTCTTATGGTTGCCAGTAATAGGAATTTGACAGCTGTAATCAGAAAAAGATTGAAGACTGTTGTAAGAAGGGCCATTTTGGGTTGGAGCAAAGGTCTGCGACATTAGCTATTTCTGCTGCTTTTCAGCAAGAGAAAAGAACAGGGCAAGTATGGAGTGATTCTTCCCTTGATATATCCTCCCAGCTTCTGGCAACTTGTCATTTAGCAATTTCCTGAGTCAGAGGCTGCATCCGTACAATTGTGTTTGATCTCCCTCAATGGAGCTTTCTTCAAATTTGTCTAATGTTGGGGGGGGGGTTTAACCTATTTATAGTTCTGGCATCTGTAACATGCTGTGGCAATTAGTTTCCACAACTTATTTATGTGCTGTCTGAAAACCAAAAAGTCTTATTTTCTTTGTTTGCTGTTTTTTGGTTTGCAGCTTCGCTGGGCTCCTTCTAATTCTTCCATATTGAAAAAATACAGCATAATCATTCCTTATTTAACTCCATGTCATCCACGATTTAAAAACCTTTATCATACTTTCACCAAACTCTTTATTTTCCATGTTGAAAGGTCCTGCTGTATTTGTGGAAGCTGTTTCTTTCCCTCCCTTGGATATCAACACTACTCTTCTTTTTAATTTTGCAAATTTCGTCTGAAAAGAAGTGACCAGAATGGCAGCAAGTCTTCAAGACAGGATGCATTGTGGGTTTTTGCAGAGGCATTGTTCCTTATTCCATTCATAATAATTCTCTGCATTGTGCTTACAATTTCTGTATTTGTCTCTAAGCAGTTAGCTGTTGCTTTCACAGAACTATCCATGCTGACTCCAGGATCTTTCTCTGTCTGACACCACTAACTGTATTGCCACAGCTGTGCACTGCTAGGGTTGTGCATTATTTTGTGTTTTCTCCCTTGAAATTTCATCTCTCACTTTATCATCTGAATGGTTTGGTTTGCTTGAGTCCTCATTCAGTGGAAAATCAGTACATTTCTCCTAATTGCGGTATAGCCGAATTCCTGAAATCCATCTACAGGAAGCACAGTATGCAAGACTTGCAGGCAGTGTACACATTTTGCATAAGCTTTATATAGATTATTTCTAAATATTAGGTCAGGCTGGTCAAACTGGCAGCCTCTTGGACCACATCCAAGTTACTGAGTGTCTCTGTTCAGCCCATTGCCTTTTCAGAAGAGCCCAGGGAACAGCTGCCCAGGGAGCGGGCACTCAGTTACACAGAGAGAGCGAGCGCAGCCCTTTTTCAGGCATTTCATTGCTCCTATCCTAAACATTAATTTTAGGATGTGATGAATCATTCTCAGAGGGTCTGTCTTTGTCTGGGAGCCGGGGTGGCTTGTTTAAACAATATATTTATCTTTTAGACTGCTTGAGTTATGTAAATCAGATATTAGCCTCAGATCCCCCCAAAACCAGCACTATGAGGAAAGAGGGGACCTGGAGTTGTATCTTCCTGTGGTACCTCCAGCCCAGTACTTACTGCCTGGAACTGGGGACCAGGGAGGAGGATGCTCACAGAAGAGCCAGTATTGTGCAATCTTGTGGCCAGAAAGTATATGCATACAATATTTATAGATTCCCTAATTATCTATGGTACAATGTCATGGAGGCAAGAAGGGAATTTCTGCAATAATGTATAGAAACAAAACATCTGCAGTAAGATGGTGGCATGACATGGTAACACTGATAATAAGGCTCTGAAGGAAGAAAATCCTGTCCCCTTGAATACAGTTCTAGTGTTTCTGTGTTTCCTCAGAAGCAGTAGGTGCTAGAGACTGATGGGATCCCATACCTCATTATAGGCTATTACTCTTTCCAGCTCACTCCTCTCCTGGAGCAGCACCGTGGCACTGTTGGAAAGGAAACACAGGCAATGCTGTTTACCTGATAATAGCCGTTCCTGAGCCACAGTCGAACCTGAACTCCACGTAACCAGCCACCATGTTAATGGAGAGGAAGTCTTTGCTGTCTGTGTCGTAGCTGTACAAAAGGACACCAGTCTCTAAATCTGGACGAAATGTCATCTCAAACTCCATGAAGGAAAGGTAATTCTGTGGTTCCAAGGGCCAGGGTGTGCTAGCAAATGACCTTAAGGACTCGTTGAACTGAGGTATGGCCAAGGTGAGTGCTGGAAATCCAGAATACACAAGCAGGTCACTTGAGGCTCAAGGGTAAGGGATTGACTCCTACCAACCAGTGTCAGTTCTCTTTGTTAGGTACTTAAAGCTAATGTTAAGAAAAACAACCTAAAATTTTGTCTTCCAAATTAGAACCATTTTTTTATCCTAGCCAACACTTCCCTCCTTAATCCCTTCCTCTTCCAGGGATGTATTTGTATTATAAAGCTTTGTGCTCCTTTGCTTTAGTGATTCGCCATAGTGTTTTTCGAGGTAGCAAGCATGCACACGATGGATGTTGGCATGAAAAGCTCTGCAGCACAGAAAATAATGCTATATGTATTTGACTGTTTGTATCTCTGTGATTTCAGCAG